GGGGAGGGCTGGGCTGGGCTGGGGCCCCCCTGTCTGTGCTGGCTGCAGAGGGCTGGGCAGGGCATGGGCAGATGCCCAGAGGATTCTGTGGGAAGGAGTCGATCTCTCCCAGTCATTGTTACTATGGAGTAATAATGGGCTGAGTCCTTTTGTGCCGCCCAAACAGCCCTTTAAATCCCACCCAGGGATATGGACGTGCCGAGCATGCGGCAGCCACACGGTTTCCCACCTTTGCGCCAGGAGTCACGTCGAATAGGACAGGGGCCGGATGCATGGAAATTCTGAGTGCAGGGAGAATCCCTTCCTGACAGCTGTTAGTTAGAGGCGGGGCCATGCCCTGGAGCATGAGAGTGTCTGATCTTTTCAAATGTAAAGTGTTTTTTCCTGAATGTCATTCTGGCTCTCTCTGCCCAACCTCTTTTTGGGGATTGTTGGGTTCATGTCGCTGGCAAATACTGAGACACCCTTCCCTGCACTGCATTTCAAAGGAACAGCCTGCCAGCTCCATCGCAGGCCCCCATGTCCTCGCACTGCAGATCCCGGCGGGGAAATGCTTCCGCCCCTCACCCGCGTTCTCTGCTTTGTTCCCAGCCCCGCGATGCTCTCCCTGTTCTACGGCACAGACAGAGAAAGGCAGCGGCTCGTGCGGGTGAGCCAGGCCCTGCATGACTCCCTACAAGGCTGCATCTTAGCCACCCGCACGCTGCTCCATCTCCTCAGCCAGCACCTTGACACCAGCGTGGGCCTGGAATCGGTGGGGGGCGACGTCCCTGTGGGGCAGAGCCTGGAGCACCTGCTGTGGGCGGCCCGGGAGATCCACGCCGCGGCGGAGCAGACGGACAGACACGTGCAGAAGAACATCAGCCGGGAGCTGTACACCCGCCTGGCCTCCCCCTATTCCTCGCTGCAGGAGAAGGCGGCCATCGTCCGGGACTTCCACCAGGCCACCATGGGCATCTTCGGCAGTGTGGGCGGCCCCGTGGTGGCCGTGGTGCTGCGGAAGGGGGCGGACGCCCCCCCGGGCGCGCCCCCTGCCGGTGAATGACCTGCTCCTGGGCAGCGAGGAGATCGCCAGGGCCTTGTCCACCCCCACTGCCTGCGTGGGCCTAGCTGGGGATACGCCTGCAGGGCCCCCTCAGAGCAGCCCCGTCTCCGGGACTGGCCTGGTGCAGACTCTGCAGGGCTACCTGCCCGAGGCCGTGACGGGCTGTCGAGCCAGGAACGCCGTGATGGCTGCCACCGGGCACCTGGAGGAGGCGCGCCAGGCGCTGGCACCGGCCTGCAAGTCTTTCCAGCTGCTGGCTGTTGAGGCTGAGGTCTACGTGGGCCTGATCGCAGAGCAGCAGCTGGGAAGGGCCGAGGGGCCAGGCCAGATCCCTGCCGGCCTCGCCCACTGAGCTGGGCCGGCAGAGCCATGGCAACAGGCCTGCTCGCCCCGGCACACACGGGCAGGTGCTGCCCCAGGTGCTGCGCTGGTTATGAAGCCTCACAGAGCCCAGCGCCTGGGGCTGGCAGCCGGAGGCCATGGCAAATAAAAGGAACCCAGGGCTCGGGTCTCACTGCTCTGTCCCACATGTGCTGGCCCAACGGCCTTACAATCACACTCCTCTCCCAACCCGGGGTGGGGGGGGGCCGGGGAATCCGCTCTG